CTCTGGGGTTCTGTTTTTCTAATTAAGTCTAAGATTTAATAACTTCTCCAACGTCCTCTAGTTTGTAATTGGTAGAGTTAGCATTCAATCCAAGGCCTAATTCTAAAGTTTTTTTTTTAACAAGGCTGGTCTTAGCTGGAGGAGCCCTGGTGGTGCATTGGACAGTACATTAGGCTGATAACCCGAAGGTCAGTAGGTTGAGCTCATGAGATCTCCTGTGGGAGACAAATGAGGCAATCCAGACAGATTCGCAGTCTCCGAAGACTGGTGAGCAGTTCTACTCTATCTTATAGCATCACTAAGAATTTGAGTCACCTCAGCAACCATCTTTGGTCTTAATGGATGATGGGTTTTGGTCTCACCTAACTTCATTTACTCCCCAGTTTTAGCCTCCTTTAGTACAGCCATTGTTTACTTGAGAGTTATTCACATCAGCACACATTTGTTAGTTTGCACTTTCCTTGTAATATTTGAATTGCTTGGATTGATTTCCATGTTCTCTCTCCAGCGCTTACAGAGTGAGATCTGATCTCCAGACCTTGGCATTCAGGGCCTTCACACTCTGCCCCAAACCATTGTTCCAAATTAACAGACTTTAACAATTTAACTTTTCCATTTATTTCTTAAAATGGTGTGTGCTGTCTGGAATGCCTTCCTTGCTATATTTCCCTCTCTGTATTTCTCCCCCACCAATTTCAACTCAAATAATGTGTCTTTCATTCATGTCTTAGACTTCAAAGTATTGAACCAAATTTGAGAAACCAAAAGAACTACATAGTACCTGGCCACCATTAGCAACTGCTCTGAAAAGGAGCACGTGAGAAGGTCTTGAATATAGTGAGAGCAAGATGTAGAACAAAGCTCAAATTCCCAAAAGATACCAGTTTACTGCTCAGATGTAGTCACTTACAGGTACGGGACTGAACTCTCCTCCAAGTTAGAAACAACCATTTACTGTAAAAAAGGTAGCATTTCCCCAAGAACAAAGTCCAGGGGGTTAGGAAAGAAGGAAGAATGAGAACAAGAAAGAGAAGAAACGAGGCACGTAAGGAACCACTGAGGGGACTGCAATGAGGAGTCGAAACAAGATCTGTATGAGTTGCTGACCGTGCAACTGGCTCTGCTCTGAAAGCCTCCACCTAGTTCACAATCAAAAGGTTTCTTTAAAAAGCAAACTGGTAAGACTTAGAGCCAAACGGTAGAGAAAAGAAAGAAAGAAAGCCCAACTGTAACAATTCTCTGTATTTTCTAAGAAGGGTTCATGTTAGCATGTGCCTTTCCTATGACACGTGCTAGAGGATTATTTTAAAAGACGATTTTGTTCTGCAGGGGTTGCCGTGTACACTGGAATGGAAACGAAAATGGCCTTAAATTACAAGAGTAAGTCACAGAAGCGATCTGCAGTAGAAAAGTAAGCAACTACTTTGATTTATTTATGCATAAATCTAAGTACAGATGTGTATTCATATGTGTATAATATGCTGTGGGTGGGTGTCAAGTCAAACAAAAGATGATATCCTTTAGAAAAGAGAGAGATTCTCATATTTTTGTATTCAACAAAAGTGCTTTTGCGTTCTATGACTCCTGGTGCCCGTGTGCGTCACAGTCGCCCTGTGCTCTGCAGGGTTTGCAGTGACACTGGTCTTTTGGATGCAGATTGCCAGGCCTTTCCTTCAACCCCTCTCTGGATGGATTTGCACCACCAACATTTCGGTTAGTGGTTAAGCACTTTACCACTTGTACTATCCAAACTAAACACACAAAAATCAAACTCCCTGCCATCGAGTTGATTCGTACTCATTTGCACCACCAGGGGCTCCTGCTTTGTAATAAGTGCACCATTTGGCAGAGTGCCATATAGTAAGTGTAAAATTAAGACTTCAACAAATCTTTCCATATAAAGATGTGCACATGAATTTTTATAGCAGCTTTATTCAGAGTTGCCAAAAATTTGATGTAAGTAAGATGTCCTTCACTAGGCAAAGAGGTAAAGAAACTGTGGTCCATCCATACAATGGAGCATTATTTAGCAATAAAAAATGAGCTACCGAGACTGAAAAGACTGGGAGGAGCCTCTAGTACATGCTTCATGATTTCAGCCGTATGATATTTTGCAAGAAGCAAAACTGTAGAGACACGAGAAAAGATGAGTGGTTGCCAGGGGCACTGGCATGGAAGAGGGGGAAAGAGAGAGAAATCGTAGGTAAAGTGCTGTGCACTTACAGGACAGTGAAACTATGTAATATTCTAATAGTGGGGGAAAAATATTCTAATAGTGGACACATGATATCATGTGTTTGTCCTATAGACCTATAGAATTATTCACCACAAAGAGTAAATCATAAACTATGGGGTTAGTTCATAATAATATATCAATATTGGTTCATCGATTGTACCAAATGGGAATGCAAGATGTTAATAGGAAAAATATTGTGCCGAGGGAAAAAAGTATATGGAACCTTGGTATTTTGTACAGCAAATGTTTTCTGTGCTGAGAACTACACTAAAAAATAAAGTCTATTAAAAATAATTTTAAAAAGAAATGCTATTGGGTAATACTAGAATCATATGATTAGACCAACCCTCTGTAGGTGATATTATGCATATTATGTTATGCATATTATAAAATGTGCATAAAACCAAAATTTTTAAAAAAGGAAACAACTTGGAAGCTCAATTAAGTGACTAAAAAAGTGGACAGAAACTGGGAAGGGGTCCACTCCTAAAAAATGGTAACAGTAAGGGGGAAAATTTTAGAATTTGTAGCTTTTTGCTAGCACTTTCCAATTGGTGCACTGCCCAGAGCATTAAAAAAAAGCCACAGGTTTACTGGATTCAGGTGTCAGAGGATGGAGCTCAAAGCTGGAAAAAAAACTGAGAAAAGGAAAATGTGAAGATGGGAACCAATTGGAATGATTTCTAAAAGCTGCACAGAAATTCGGCTCAAATCCTTGATAACCATTAATCTATTCAGGTAAAGGGGAGACTCCAGTGGCCCTGGGGAAATAAGACAGTAGTAATAGCGGAAAGAATTGAACAGAGAATTGAACAGAGCTCATTGCATTGGAGACAAAGTTGGCATTTGAGCTTAATGTTGTTATGCTGTTGGAATAAATCTCAGCATTCCCCTCAGGAAGACAAAAGAATGCAGTCTTTGCAGAGCATGTTTTAATACTCAGGATGCAATCAGAAGTAAACATATGTGAAGGAAATGTACCCTATAGTCAATAGAAACTGTCTCTGAAAGATGAAGATCTTACAGTTAGCATACGAGGAATTTAAAGTTGGTATTCTAAGTATTGTCAAAGGACCTAAACAAAGTTGTGAATAAATATATGGGAAATTTCACCAGAAAAGAGGAAATGCAGAGTCAATATGCAATGAGATGATTACTGTACACCTATTGGAATAGCTAGAGTAATAAATAATGCTAAGTGCTGCTGAGAACAGAGAAAACGCATCTCAAATACATTGTTAGTGGAAAGAAAAGTTGTTCAGCCACTCTGATAATAGTTAGGCAACTTCTTGTAAAACTGAAAATGCACTGCACTCTGGGCCTTTATCCCAAAGAAGTAAGAGTTACCTTTACACAAAAACTTGGCACTGTATTTTCCATAGCAGCTTTTTGTAAAAACACCAACAAAAAATAAAACAGATTTGAATTAGCCCAAACATCCTTCACTAAGTAAATAGCTGACACCCTCTGGTACATCCACATAATGGAATACTAATTACTGCTTAGAAGTAAAAGGAATAAACTATTGATACTGAGGGAAGCCGAAATGTACTTAGTGGGGGAAAAAAATCAGACTTTACTATATAAGTCCAGTTAAATTACATCTCAAAATGTAAGAAGATCAGAATTTGGAGTCAGGCAGATTTAGAGTGGAACTTCAGATTCTTGGCTTATTAGCTATATGGTACTGCACCAGCTTTTTTTAATTCCTCTGAACCCAAAGTTCTCCTCTGTAAATGTGGGAGCAAGACTTGTCTCATAGGCTGGTTGGGAGAATTAATACTATAGACAAAATGTTCAACACTGTGTCTAACATATTGTAGCTGAACAGGAAGCATGAGTTTCTTTCTTGTGCCCCTCCCTCCCTCTTCCGTGTAGACTTTATGTTGAAGGAAAGTGGAATAACAAGTTGTTGCATAGTTAAGATAAGGCTATATCATGGAGGGCCTCAGGAGGCATCGTGAGATCTTTAAGGGTTTTGGCAAAACCTGAAAGGTGTATTTTTCCTCAGTATTTGCTGGGTACCTGGGCATCAGTTCATCATTCTATTTATTTTGTAGATATTTGAATATTTAATGATTAAAAAGTATCTTTAATTATGTCAGATTTTAAGATTTTGAACTTAAAATTGTAGAATTGTAATATTAAGCTTGTGTGTTGAAAAGAAAGGAATTCTAAATTTAATTCCTGACTTACATGAGCTTGGGAAATTCACAGAGTAATTTTGAGGTTGTAGTCTTTTTGGATTTAAAAAAGTACTATAATCTCTTCGTCCCAGAGTTGTGCTGTTGTTCTGTAGCTCCTCACAGAATTCTTATATAAAGATTAGCTAGATTTAAAAAAATTAGCTTAATAATGGTTGGGAAAAAAGTTATTTAAAATTTTAACACTAAATAAATGTTCTATTCTTACAGTATTATATGTTACAATTAGATCTTGAAAATATAAAAATCTTAAGCTAATTATCATGTCAAAAATAACTGGAAAAAATCAACTGAGGGAGGGAGTCAAGATGGCATACAGGTAGAATCACCCGCCCGACGCTCCTGCTATTAGATCAGAAAATTAGGAGAATTGGGAGTGTGCATGCAGACCCCACCCTGACGCACCAAACCTCGAGGGCAACGTAACCACATGAGAATGGTCTACATTCAGGGACGGCCCCAATCAGAGCAAACTGACCCCCACCCTTGAAGTATGTGCTACAAAGGACAACAGTGAATCTACAGGTGGGGAAGAGGGGCGGGCATGCTACACCCACACGGAAGCAAACCAAAAAGGAAAAAGAGGAATTGAGGGTCTAGACCCCATATCAGCACACCAAGCCCCGAGGATGATGTCCCTGCACGGAGTTGCTAAGACACAGAGGACTGCAGGACCGACAATAGCTCGAGACATGATTTCCCCTCACTGGAGCATACCGAGACAGAGGAAAATACTGGGGACACACTGTGGAAGTTAGTCCAGTCTACCCCCCACAGCAGGGTGACCCAAGAAGGGCACATAACAGGTCAGCAATGGAAGCCAAGCCAAGCCACAGAGCCCCCCAAATAGACGTCAAGCTAGGAGAGGAAGTTTCCAGAATTCCCCAGGACCAGTGGTGAGAGTCATAAAGGTCAGCAGAACAGATCTGGAATTATGCGTGTTTTTTTCATCTCTCTCTTTTTATTTGATCTTTTGTGTTCTTTCCATTATTGTTGGTTTTGCTTACCTATATAAGATAGGCATGGGAAGCAAGTTTGAGGAGAAAGCAACAGGACAGGGGAGGCCGGGGAAGGGAGCAGTGTTCCCAGGGAGCAACTAGGGAATTAAGCTCAACAATGAGGAGGATGTAGAGCTCCTGGGGGTGTTGGAGCAACAGCAGTCTAGCTGAGAAGAATTACTAAGAGGCAGAAGAAGGGCGAGCAGATGGTGGGGTAGGAGGAAGGTAAAAGGAACAGAGGAAAGATCTAGGAAGCAAAGCTATGGATAGAGGTATAAACATAGGTGTGTACACATGTAAATACATTAATTCATAAAAAAAATAGAGGTATTGGCCTATGTACATGTATTTCTATGGCAATACACTTAGGTAGTGGTTGAACTTGGGCCCTCTACTCAAGCCCTGCCTTAACGCAAGAACACTTTGTTCTAACAACCTGGCATTCTGTGATGCTCACCCTCCCGGCACGATTGCTGAAGACAAAATGGGTGCACAAGCAAATGTGAAGAAAGCAGATGGTGCCCAGCTATCAAAAGATATAGTGTCTGGAGTCTTAAAGGCTTGAAGGTAAACAAGTGGCTGCCTAGCAGAGAAGCAACAAGCCCAGACGGAAGAAGCAGCCTCTGCAATCATGAGGTTTCAATGGGATCAGGTAACAGGCATCAGAAGACCCCAAACAAACAAGCAAAAACCATACTGTTCAGAACAAGGGGGTCAGAGAGAGCCCCCAAACCCATCTGTAGACAATGGGACAAACCTTCACAAAAGAGTCAGATGGAAGGGGGATGAGTCAACCAGGGTGCAGTATAGCAGGATGAAGCACACAATATCCCTCTGGTTCTTTGAGGCTTCCTCACCACCTCCCTCCACTATCATGACCCCAGTCCTGCCTTTCACTCTGGGCTAGACAGGGAGCATGTGCACAGGTACAGATAAGAGACAAGAGCTTCTGACACACAGAATCCAGGAACAGAAATGGGAGCAGTGATACCAAAAGGCTAGGGGGAAGATGGGGAAAGGAAGGGGGAAGCGATCGCAATGATTGACACATAATCACACACATCCCCTCCAGTGGAACGAAAAACAGAAGTGTGTGTGTGGGGGGTGGGGGCGGGGAGATGAGGGGAAGAGAGACAGCAGTTGGTGTAAGATATGAAAATAATATATAATTTATCAAGGGGTCATGAGGGTGGGAGGGGGAAGGGAGGGAAAAAAAGAGCTGATACCAAGGGCTCAAATAGAAAGTAAATGTTTAGAAAATAATGATGGCAACATACGTACAAATATGCTTGATACAATTTATGTATGGATTGTTATAAGAGCTGCAAGAGCCCCCAAGAAAATCTTTTAATAAATATTTTAAAAATCAACTAAAGACTTAAAAATTATAAAATATAAAAATAACTGACCCATCCACTCAGATCTTACCTCAGAACAAGAACGGTTTGTCCTAATAATTTGGCACTGCATGATACTTACCTTCCTGACACAATCGCTGAAGACAAAATGGATACATATGCAAATGTGGTGAAGAAAGTGGTTGGTGCCTTGCTATTAAAAGATACAGCGTCTGGGGTCTTAAAGACTTGAAGATAAACAAGTGGCCATCTAGCAGGGATGCAAAAAAGCCCACATGGGAGAAGCACACCAGCCTGTGTGATCATGAGGTGTCGATGGGAATAGGTATCAGAAGTTCAAAAAAACAATCAAATAGAAATGAAGGAGCGTGGATAGAGTGGAGGCCCACACCCCACCTGAAGATGATTGGACAGTTCCTCACAGAAGGGCCACACAAAAGGGATGTTGAGTCCAGGATGTGGTATAGCACTGATGAAACACAGAACCATCCTCTAGATCTTTAGTATTTCCTCCCCTCACTATTAGTTTTTGTCTCCCCTCATTAACCTACTTAGACATGCGTATGCTCGTGTATAATTGAAATCGTGTGATGCATGAAAGACAAGATGGATAACCCATCAGAAAGAGTATAATAATAATAATAATATAATAATAACTGGCCAAACTGTCATGTTTTAAGCATTTTGGATAGTAACAGAGCTATAGTTTAATATATTTGTAAGCTATGTATATTGATTCTTACCTTTTTTTTTTTTTTGGCTAATGAACAGATTGTATTGAATGATCATTTCTTGAAAATGAAGACCATCCTTTAAATAGCTACAGTGGTACTTCATATTTTAATATCCTATATTAACTCTCGGCAATGATAATACATTTGTTATGTTTTATATTCTCACTTCAGGTCAATGAACACATTTTTGATAATTTACCTAATAATCCTTATTTCTGAAGCCATCATCAGTACTATCTTGAAATACACGTGGCAAGCTGAAGAAAAATGGGATGAGCCTTGGTACAACCAAAAAACAGAGCATCAGAGAAATAGTAGTAAGGTATTTTATGGTGTCCTTGACTCTGCTGTAAAGGAAACTTTATTCTTTGGTACAGTTTATGCTTGGGGTAATGGCTTCTGATGAGAGGGGTGCTTAACCATGGGTTCTTAAGAGTGAACAAATGACACTGCAGATGAAGAACCTGGTTTGCTTTTTACCGTCACGGCTCCAGCAGTTGTATTCCCTTATGGCATGGCTAGAATAGTTACAGGCGGTCCCAAAATTTAAATAAGTATATGTTTGCATTCCATTTCAGCACCACAAAGTCAGTTTTTTACTATTAGTATACCTTATCATAAGTGAAATTAAAGGTATATATTTATTGATTTATATATTTATTACAAATATTTATATATTTAAATAATATAAAATTTATATATTTGCATTTATATTTGAACTATGTAAGGAGGAGTCTTAGCAATCTGGTTGGTGATATAAGTAATACACAAATTAAAGTTTTAACTGGCTAGACCAGAGGAGGTACATTGGTACAGATAGGAACTGAAAATACAGGGAATCCAGGACGGATGAGCCCTCTAGGACCAGTGGTGTGAGTGGCAAAACAGGGAGGGTAAAGGGAGAATGGGTAGGGAAGAGGGAACCGATTACATGGAACTGTGTGTGACCTCCCCCCGGGACAAAAAACAAAAAAGTGGATGAAGGGAGACGTCGGACAGGGCAAGATATGACAAAATACCCATTTATAAACTATCAAGGGCTCATGCGGGAGGGGGGAGCGGGGAGGGAGGGGAAAAATGAGGACCTAATGTCGGGGGTTTAAATGGAGAGAAAATGTTTTGAGAAACGATGTACAAATGCGCTTTACACAATTGATGTGTGTATGGATTGGGATAACAGTTGTATGAGCCCCTAATAAAATGTTAAAAAAGAAAAAAAAAATTAAAGTTTTAAACTGATCAGCTATGTACCACCAACACAATTCATACTGAAGAGTTTGTTTTTGTGCCTATCAGTTATTTGCTAATATTTAAAAGTTAGTCAATTTCTAACTTTCTCTAATTTTGAAGGGTAGGAGTGGAATAGAGAAGAGTATAATTTTGTTAAAGGTGTTTTCAGTCGCACCAGACTCTTACTAAGTAAGAAATTTTAATGTAATCTTTTTTCCTTTAACATGATCAAGATTCTAATAAACAATAAAGTACAGTATTGCAAAGATAATCCAATTAATGATTTTCAACTTAATATTCTTTTGTTTCAGAATATAGTTGATGGTCTGTATACTTAGACATGACTTTTTCTGATAAATTTCTACAGTAATGTTGAAGTTACTAGGTATTTTCTCATATCAAACAATTCTTTCTTTTTTCCTAGATTCTGAGATTCATTTCAGACTTTCTTGCTTTTTTGGTACTATATAATTTTATCATTCCAATTTCATTATACGTGACAGTCGAAATGCAGAAATTTCTTGGATCGTTTTTTATTGGCTGGGATCTCGATCTCTATCATGAAGAATCAGATCAGAAAGCCCAGGTCAATACTTCAGATCTGAATGAAGAGCTGGGACAGGTGAAAATGACACTTTTGGTTTTCTAGCTTGCTACTTTTATCAAAGCAACATGTCTGTACTAATAAGTATTGTAAGATTTAAAATAAAAAATAGCCTGCCTTTGCTTCACCCCTTATTTTTGTTTTCCATTTTGAAATCTTAAAGCTGTCTCTCACCTTTATTTACTACTCTTATTTCTATATAGCATTATTTCTATGGAATATACAGATCTAACATTATTCTTCCCTGTGTCCACCAAACACGCACACATATATATACACACACACACGCACACATACTTCCCCGAGTGTTGTTATTTCACAGCTTGGGATTTAATAAATATTCACTGAACATTATTACGAGTGACTCGATATTGCTCACTAATTCTCAGATTCCCATAAATCTTTATGGGACCCTCTGATACTATCATTATATTTCCTTTCTTGTATACCTACTTTGTTTTCCCTACAGCTAATTGCTCTGGTTTTTCATAAACTGACAAATATAAAATTATCTACACGTATCCAAACATCTCAGGTAATCTAGGGGTTTCTTCCTTCGCTTTCCTCCCCTCCTTGCCCTTCCATCCTTTCTCTCCTTTCCTTCCTTCCTGTGTACGCCGCCTTTTTAAAAAACAGTCTCAGCCTTTTGTCCGTTTGGTCCAATTTGGACTTGCTGTTTCTCAACTGTGCCCTCAGATCTTTCCCGGCTATTGTACTAGAAATGCCTTTGTATTGTATTGGAAATCCTGGTTCAGATCGCCTGTTTCTGCATCCCATGTCTTCCCACCTGTGGCTTATTCTCGGAGCCCATTTTCTAATTGGGTTCCAAAAGAGAATGCTAAGAGCAAAATATTTTGAGACTTTGCATCTCTGAAAAATATCCTTTATCTTTCCCCAAATAATTGACCAATCCTTTAACTGGATATTACATTCCAGGCTGGAAATCCTTTTTCTTTTTCCTCAGAATTTTGAAGGTCTTGCTCCATTGTTTTCTAGCCTCCCGTGTTCCTCTTGGGAAACCGGGTGCCTTTCTGGTGTTCAGCTCTTCTGATCTTGTCTTTTGTTTTTATCTCTGGAAGCATTTGGAATTTTCTCCTTATGCAAGTTGTGAATATGATGAGCGACACTGGTTGAGTCTTTTATTCCATTGGGACAACACACTCAGCAAACCCTTTCAGTCTAGAAACACACGTCTCTTCAAGTAGGGGACATTTTCTTGCAGTATTTTTTTTGGTTAACATGTCTGTATTTTTTTTCCTGAAACCCATATAACTTTGATACCAGATTACTTATATTGATCTTCTCATTCTCTTTCTTTGACACCCTGGGAGAATTTGCCCAACTTCAGCTTTTCACCCTTGCTGTCTTTTTTTTATTTCTAATATTACATTATTCTCTGAATAGTCTTTTAAAAATTGCATCTTATTCCTGCTTCTTACATAGACTCTCTCTCCTCACCACCCTGAAACTTGCTGACCCTGAAAGTCTTATTCTGCTGCCGGCACTTTCTCTGTGTGCTCCTACTTCCCTTCTGACTGCAGCCAGCTCTGCTATAACGCAGTGCCTGCTTCCCCAGACATCACTGCACTCTGGGAAATTGCGTAACAAGCACCTATGGGAAGAAGTGGGATTACCTACACAACACAAAAGCATCATCAGTATCACATTTTAAAAAGGGAACCTAATACAACACTTTCTAAATGGTTCAGAAGTCTATCAGTACTACAGTAAATATGGTACCTTTTCTTGAAAAAGGCCTAAAGTCCGCTTGCTTGTGGAAGTGGGCATTAGAAGGGGCAGTAACTTTGGTGATCAGGGGTCCTCAAACTACCGCCCGCGGGCCACATGCGCCCGCCAAGGACATTTATCCTGCCCGCCGGGTGTTTTTGCCCTGTTTGTTTTTTTTTACTTCAAAATAAGATATGTGCAGTGTGCATAGGACTTTGTTCACAGCTTTTTTTTTTTTCAGTCTCTAGTCCGGCCCTCCAATGGGTCTGAGGGACAGTGAACTGGCCCCCTGTTTAGCAAGTTTGAGGACCCCTGGTAGATGAAGGAAGGTATCTACAATCAGAAGAAAAGTTGTAATACGACAAACGGAGGTGGCTGGCAGCTGTTTGAGGGTTATAGTTCCAGGTATTCCTTCATGGCAGGCATTTTTGTGTGTTCTGTTTCTCAGGACAAAATTGTGCACAGCCAATGCTCAAGTATACATTATCCTCAAATCTTGGTGGGATAAATGTGTGTTTTCAAAGCATTATTATAGCAGAACTTGCAGTCAGTGCTTTTAGACTGCTTTTCACATAAAAAGTCATCCTCAAATGAATGCGAAGCTCAGACTATCCTTGTCACGTTAAAAGTGACACACTAAAACGCTTATTAGAAACTTTCAAGCCAGTGGACCTTGCACTGAGATAATGATTGGCAGCCAGCTGTTTGGAAGAGAAGTGTTTGTCTTTTTTACTTTAAGAAATAGATCTTTCCTTTTCAACAGTTGTGTTTGGTAATTTCCCCCCTTCCCCTAATTTTAATCTCTTCCATCAATTTTAGATAGCTTCCCACTCCTGACTTCAGTTTCTATCATTTTGTGTTCCTGTTCTCTGTTCTGTACTATTTCTGCAGGTACCGTTTCCCATGCTGGGTTACTAATCATCCATCCAGTCCTTGATTCCAAGTAAGGGATCGTACTTTTTAAAGCAGCAGTTCTCAACCTGTGGGTCATGACCCCTTTGGGGGTCGAACAACCCTTTCACTGGGGTTGCCCGATTCATAACAGTAGCAAAATTACAGTTATGAAGTAGCAACGAAAATAATTTTATGGTTGAGGGGTCACCACAACATGAGGAACTGTATGAAAGGGCCGCGGCATTAGGAAGGTTGAGAGCCACTGTTTTAAAACTTTATCCGGGAGGTAGAAAAGAAGTACTAAAGCCACATTCTCAGTCAACTCTCGGGGTGGTTATGCACTTAAAGTTGCTACAAATTTCAAAGCATATACATTTTAAAAATATTTTGTCTCTTTGACGTGTTTATTAATCGATTGTGTTTAGATTATTAGAATCTCGGTTATCAGTGTAGCAATGTTAGTCAGTACACTGGAACTCAAGAGACAGAGGACACGGGGCTTTTGTTTGTTTAGTTTGATGATTTGTTTTTTTTTTAGCAAAGCACCGTGAATACAGGGATTTGTTTTGTTTTTCTACCCTCTAGGTGGAGTATGTGTTTACCGATAAAACTGGTACACTAACGGAGAATGAGATGCAGTTTCGGGAATGTTCACTCAATGGCATAAAATACCAAGAAATCAACGGTAGACTTGTACCTGAAGGTCCAACACCAGACTCTTCAGACGGAAACTTATCTTACCTCAGTAGTTTATCCCATCTTAACAACTTATCTCATCTTACAACCAGTTCTTCTTTTAGAACCAGTCCTGAATATGAACTTGAACTAGTAAGCAATTTTTAAACTAATAAATAAGGATTACATTTCAGCCAACATCTTCATTTTATGGAATGGCCTTTAGTTCTTGCTGGGTTTCTAGAAAGAATGCAAGTTTAAGTGTTAGTGGAGCAATGAAGAATTATTTGAAATGTATGAATAGGCTCTGCGTCAATGCTACAAAATATAATTCTGGGGCTTTATAGTCAGTGTCCATATCATTTACCCTGTATCTGCCGTAGTTTCCTGAGTTTCCACCATGGCATTGCGTTAAGGCAAGTTTTTATGATCTTGAAGTGAAGAAGACATTGCTAAGAAATCGAGCTTAAATATTTTAAATTGATTTTTGTGATCATCAAGTTTTTAAAACATTTTATTGTGGTTTGTGTGAAACTTTACCAAGCAAATCAGTTGTCCATTTTACTGTTTACACACTTGTTATTTTGTGACATTAGTGGCAATCTCTTCAGTATGACAGTGCTCTACCCACTGCCCACCTGGGTTTCCTGTTTTCATCAGTCCTTGCTTTCTGACCCTTCCTGCCTTTTGAACTTTGTTTTTAGGCAAATGCTGCCCTTTGGGTCTTAAATGATTGCTTGTTCTGAGAAGCATGTTCCTCGTGGAGTTTAGTGCCATTTGTAGGACTATTTCTTGGCTGAGAGGTGATCCCCAGGAGTGGGTGCAGTTCTGGGTTTGAAGGGTGCCAAAAGGCCATAGTATAAGGCAGCGGTTCTCAACCTGCCTCATGCCGCGACCCTTTCATACAGTTCCTCATGTTGTGTTGACCCCCAACCATAAAATTATTTTTGGTGCTACTTCATAAACTGTAATTTTGCTACTGTTATGAATCAGGCAACCCCAGTGAAAGGGTTGTTTGTCGCCCAAATGGGTCACAACCCATAGGTTGAGAACTGCTGGTATAAGGGATTCCACCAGTTTCTAGCAAACCATTATGTTGGATCTTTTTTATTTTGATTTTTGTTTCTTCCTTTCTGTCCAGGACCTTCTATTATGATCCTGCTCAGAGTGGTCAGAAATGGTAGCTGGGCGCTGTCTACTTCTTCTGATTTCAGGGTAGTGAAGGCTGTGGTCACATGGCCTCTTCGTCCTTTGGACTATTTCCTTGAATCTCAGATTTCCTTCACTCTTCTTTGCTTCAGATAATGTTTTATTACATTTTGAACAAAAGAGTGACTCCCTATTTTCGTGGAGCTGACAATAGATTATTTTTAGCAAGTCAAAGCTAACCATCTATTATTCAAGCAATTCAGAATTATAGTGTTCTTGTTCTAGAACTACATGACAACAGTATTCTTTGTATTTATGGATATTAAATAATTCTATTCCTGCTTCCGTGAATGGTATTTATTTTTAATCATGATTGTTAATTATATTTTCACAGATTAAAGAACACGGCCTCTTCTTTAAGGCAGTCAGCCTCTGTCACACGGTACAGATAAGCAATGTTCAGACTGATGGCATTGGTGATGGTCCCTGGCAATCCACCCTCACACCCTCCCCCTTAGAGTATTATGCCTCGTCTCCAGATGAAAAGGCTCTAGTGGAAGCTGCTGCAAGGTAGTTTAATCTAATTTCCAAGCCTTATGAAAAGTACTTTCTTTCAATGAAGCATGAAATTATTCAAGTACCATCATTCTAAATTGTCAAACATAGAGTCATCATTTTAAATTGTCTAATTCATAAACATAAAGATAGAAGTGCATTTTAAATTAAATGTCAAATGAGCAATAATTGAAGTGTATTATTTTCGCACTTGTGCTAGCATTGAGTCATATTTGCAAGAGAGCCCTTAAAATCCAGTTACTATGAAATATAACTAATGCAATTATGTAAGAAGTTCTTCTGTGCAGCCACTTTTGAAATGTTTCATTAACAAATAGTAGTTTTTCTCTGCCTGCTCTGATCATTCAGGTTTTTGAAAGTAACTATATATTCATAGGAAATATTTTAAAATACATTTCAAACTCTCGTTTTAGATGTTGTTTATCAAGCCAGTTAATAATAAAGCATCATGAAATGTGAAATATCATCCCTTAAATTTTATATTTCTTTCTCATTTTAATCTCCAGAATTGGCATTGTATTTATTGGCAATTCTGAAGAAACTATGGAAGTTAAAATACTTGGAAAATTGGAACGGTAATTTTCCCCCCATATATTGTAATTTACTATATGTTAAGTATATAGGGTATAGGTCAGGGATCCATAAGTATATCTGTAGGGAAAATCTGGACCATGACCTTTCTCTGCATAGGCCAGGAGCTATGTCATAGGTTCCCTCCCCTCCACCTAGCCCCAGCCCCCACCCCCGCTCCCTCAAAGAGCATGCAACAGGGCTCACAGGCAGAGCTTAAAATAGCTGAGCTTCTCAGAAAAAGTCTTCTGACTCCTGCTCTTACTTTTATTATGACCGTATAGCTAGCTTATTGGAGTGCGGACAGTCTGCTGTGACTCGCTCATCTGTGCTTTAGCTTACTGACCCTGGAAGTTAGTTTCACCTTCCTTTGTGCATACGCATCCCTGGAGCCATGGGTTTCCTACGTTTCTAGTCCTTTATTTCCTATGATTTTATCTTTCAAACCTGAAGGAAGGACTCTCTTTTAAAAAAGATTTTACTAAAAAAATAAACAAAATAAAAAAATAAAAAGATTTTGCTGTTTCATCAAATTAGTCCATGCTTTTATCAGTTTTGATCATATCTCAACTCTAACTTTGCTTTTCTAAAATATGCCTTTCTTAAGTGAATAGGGTCCATTTTTTGGCTACTTCCTTGCGGAAACTCCTCTTGCTTGCTTATTTCAGCTAATAAACCAATTCAGACTTTTAGTCAAGCTAATAATGAAGCATCATAAAATATGAAATCTTTCAAAATGTTATTCTTTGATATGTACACCACACTCCATTTTTACACAGCCTTACAGGATTCATATGGAAGACTTTGCAAGTCACACCTGACCCATCATTGTTTTCCAACAGTCTTAATGGCATATAATTCACGTAGCACACAGTTCGATAGTTTAATGAAGAAGAGTTGCACAATCATCATCACAATCTTCTCCAGTCTTTTACTCATCGTTTTTAGCATCCATATTCCCCCAACCTCCCCTTGGCATACCTCCCCCCCAAGAGACCATTAACGCAGTTACTGTCTCTGTATGTCCTGGATTTCATATATAGAAAAACACTAAAACCAAACAACAATAAAAAAAATTAACAGGAATAACAAAGTAAAACAGACAAAAACCTCAATCAATAAGAAAACAAAATATTAAAAACTAGAACAAATTTAAATGGATCATAAGCCAATTAAATGATGGGGTACTAAATTTTAACCTCACTGCATCTGCAACAATCCATTTTGCAGTGCATTTGACAACTCACTCGAGGCATTTGTGTTCATCGCTCTCCCACCCCACCCCAACCCCCTCACACACTCTGTCCCAGGTCCAGAATCACTCTGTGATGAGCCTCTGTTAGTAATGGGAGGGCATTGTATTTCTCAAGTGTGGTAGGACAAAAAAATATTTTTTAATGAGGGAAAACATGGAATTGGACCTCAAACTATTCCTGTCCTTGCTCTGTCCTTCGTAAACCTATTCGACGTTAGGTGATTTACTTTATCTTTCTGACGTTAATCATCCTCATTCACAAAATGACGTAAAACCTACTTTGTTGGGTTCTTATGAGTATTAAATGACATAAAATCTATGAAGTACAAGTACTTAATAAATGTCAATTGCTTTTATTCATATCTTGTGTTGTTATTAACGACTCATAATCATCTGGAAATGTAGTTGAGATTAATTTCTTGTTCTGAGTTAGCATTTAGATCGACTTACAGGAGTGCTTTCCAGATACTCGTGTGATATTCCTAAAAAGTCAAAGCTTTGTCTTTTCCTTAGGTACAAACTACTTCATGTCCTGGAGTTTGACTCAGATCGTAGAAGAATGAGTGTCATTGTTCAGGCACCTTCAGGTAACCAACCTACACTTGTGTGCGTTTTTACTGGTCTCACAATAAGAGCTTGAATAGCTAATGTTTCTTTTCAGGTGAGAAGTTTTTATTTGCTAAAGGAGCTGAATCATCAATCCTCCCTAGATGTATAGGTGGAGAAATTGAGAAAACAAGAATTCATGTAGATGAATTTGCTCTGGTGAGTGCAAATTTCTGATTTTTCAAAACAGTTTCAGAACTGCAAAAAATATGTCATTCAGAACTAATGTGATAAATAAGAAAATTATAAGAGAGGTCAAGTTTCATTTTTGCATTAACTTTATTAAAAATTATTAAAGTTCTGGGGTTCTTTTGTTACATTATACGTTGGCTTCACTCTTTTGTGAATAAAACTTAACTTGTTACCTGCTACATATGTGTTCTCTTTTTGAACCTTTAAATTCTGGATGTGATGTAAAAATACAGAAATCATTGATATTAATTCTATTTTTTAAAAAGGGAACTTATTTTTAAAATACAGGTGATTCATAAACAGTAAATATTGACAATGACTAAAACTCACCTATTGCTAGTCAGACTATAAAATGGTACAACCACTTTGCAAGACAGGTTGACAGTTCTTCAAAAGTTTAAATGTAGAGTAATCATATGACTCAGCAATTCCACTCCCAGGTTTTGCTCAAAGTGAATTCATGGGAACAGGAAAATTCTTAACTGTCTGTTTCAGTCTTAGGGCTCAGTGATCTCTCATTTCTACATTTCTATAAATTCTACTCCATGCTCTCTGCTCACCTGCCTCCTTTACTTACTTATGATTTCTTTCTTTTTAAAAAAAATCATTTTATTGGGGGCTCGTACAACTCTTATCACAATCCATATATACATCCATTGTGTCAAGCGCATTTGTACATTTGTTGACCTCATCGTTCTCAAAACATTTGCTTTCTACTTGAACCCTTGGTATCAGCTCCTCATTTCCCCCCCCCCCCATTTTCTACTCCCTCATGAACCCTTGATAATTTATAAATTATTATTTTGTCATATGTTACACTGGCTGACATCTCCCTTCACCCACTTTTCTGTTGTGCTTGTATTTCTTATCTTTCATTATTTGCTTTCTGTTTGTGATCAGATTCTTCATCCACATTATAACTTCTATAACAGTAAAGACATTGTACTATCTGACCACCATTTATCTATCTATCTATCTATTTATTTAATTTTGATATATTATCTTCCCCTTCACCCAAGTTTTAACACATGTCTGCCCTCTATCCTCTGGCTTTACCTTCCTGTCCAATTTCTGGCCACTTTCAAAGAATGATTCTTATATGAGAAAACCTTTTCTTGACTTTTTATAATAGCAGTATCATACAATATTTCCCTTTTGTGATTGACTAATTTCACTCAGCATGTTCTCCAGGATCATCCATGCTGTAGGGTGTTCCCAGATTCGTTATTATTCTTCAGCATGGCATGGTATATTCCATTGTGTGTATGTGCTGAAGTTTTATGCGCTCTCCCCTTGGTGGGCATTTAAGTGGTTTCCATCTTTTTGATCTTGTGAATAGTGCTGCAGTGAGCATGGGTGTGCATGTAACTGTTCCTGTCAGGGCCCTTATTTCTCCAAGATATGGACCAAATACAGGGATAGCTGAGCCACTTAGTGTTTCTACTTCCAACTTTTTGAGGAAGCACCGTACTGCGTTCTGCAATGGTTGCACATTTTACAGTCCCACTGGCAGTGTGTGAGGGTAACATTCTTAACTGTTCCTTGATAGCCATTTGTTGTTTTGTTTGTTTGTTTGGTTTGGTTTTTTTCTTCAACTTTGTTAATTAATGCTGGAGTTTTGATTTGCACCATTTTAACATCCAGAGCAATGCCAGAACATAGTTGGTCCTCAGGAAATAAAACTGAATGAATTATTTCATATTTGAATGAATAGCTGATGATGCATTCACTATTATATAAGGGAAAGTTATTTTCAGGTGTGGGTTATTTGTAAATTGTTCTTCGAATCTGCTACATAGTGTCATATAGTATTTTAAAACTACCATTTCAAGTGAGTGGGTAGGAGGGGGTAAAAACAAAAAACAAACAACCATTTCCAAATTCTGGTAGTAAAGTATTGGAGTTTTTCTGGGGAAAGTGTGTAACAAGAAACGGTACTTTGATCATTCTTTCTATATATCAACTTCCAGACATTCATGCCATACGAAAAACTTGAGCTCAAAATATGATATAAAATATAAATTCCTACATTTTCTGTAATTCCAGTTTAACAATGTGTAATGATTAATTGTACATTGTTTATTCAGTGGATGTAAAAAGTACTAAGGGGCCCGGGCAGAGTAGTGGTTATGTATTGGGCTGCTAACCGCAAGGGCAGCAGTTTTGAGCCACCAGAGACTCCACAGGAAACGGACGATGCTTTCTACTCATGAAGAGTTACGGTTCCTGTCTTGTAAAGGTCTCTCTGAGATGGAATGAACTTGATGGCAGTGAGTTCGCTTTTGGAGTTTTTCTTTCAGTGGCTCTAAAATGTATTGTTAGAAACTATCTTTTTGTCTTTATTGTTTTTAGAAAGGGCTCAGAACTCTATGTATAGCCTATAGACAGTTTGCACCTAAAGAATATGAAGTAATAGATAGACGCCTATTTGAAGCCAGGACTGCCTTGCAACAACGGGAAGAGAAATTGGCCGACGTCTTCCAGTTCATAGAGAAAGACTTGATTCTACTTGGAGCTACAGCAGTAGAAGATAGGTAAGGATCAGATAAACAGGCAACAGCATTTCTCTTTCATAAATATTCTCTAGCCTTGTATTTCTTGATATAAGTTCTACTTATTAGCATCCCAAATGTAGTTAAAATGCACAGCCAAAACTTAAATTATTCCCATTCAATTGATAGAATTTTGTTCTATCCAGAAATATGAAGCAGATAAAAAGAAAACACATTTTTTGCCAAAAGGTTTGAATTTTTAGACTACTTAGCTTGCCCTACAAACCTTAATGATACAGTCCCTGCTTGGTTTTCCAACCTCCCCTCCCACCATTGCCCTGTCCGCTTTATGCCACAGCAGCACCCAACGGTAAGTTCCCCTCTGAATACCAACTCTAGATGAAAACTGCTTTCTGTTGTGGGTTTTTTTCCTCTTGGCAAAGCTGTGTTTTCATCCTGGAATAATCTTTCCTTTTCATAAAGTACAACTCAAATACTGCTTCCAACTCAGTTGCACTTTTCTTAGCTGACAGTAGGATAAGCATTCTCTTATAAAAGTTCTCTGTTTCATAAGTATCCTGAGCACTCCTCCTGAGGTGCGACACGACATTGTTTCACATTCTCTCTTCTGTTAGCCTGTGAGGTCCTGGGGTCCATTTATTCTTGATCTTCATGCCCCAGCATCTACCTCAATGTCTGCTTCACAGTTTCTTGAATTAAATTGAATTCTACAAATTAAGCCTGTAGTTTATTCCTCTCTAATTTCTAAGCCTAAGAGTGTTAGCATTTTTGTTCTTCAAGAAGAGTTTTCATTTACGCTGTCTTTGGGACTTCAGGTCGTCCCTTTGGCAATTAGGTAGTCTTTTATTCACCATGGTTTGATATTTGAGGTAATGATCGGAGAGATTTTCCTATCAAACTAAGAAAAACATGCTTTGATTTTGAAATTTAAGACGTTATAATGTTTTATTTACACCATATAATTATTTTGGTTTTATAAAAATTAACTTTGGCAGATATGAAATTATACATTTTAATTCATTGATTTTATGTTAACCAGGTCATTGCTAATGTAGCTATTCCTGATTTTTCCCCAATAGGGGAAATTTTCAATTTTACTACGATATTGTGAGTTTCTTCCATCAGGCGTTCAGAATTTAACTTTTTGGCACAGTGAGTTAAGCATTGGGCAGCTTAACTGAAAGGTTGGTAGTTGGATAGAACCTCCTAGCCACTCTTTGTGAGAACATTGAGACCACCTGCTTCCTTAGAGTAGTACTGCCTCAGAAGCCCCGGGGAGCAGGTCTGCTCGACCCTCACGGATCCCGCCGAGTTGGATTGACTCGACGTCAGTGGGGTTTGGTTTGGTATACTGTGTGCCTTATTCTTAATACACAGTGCAAAAACCCAAAACTATTACCTCCTCCATTTCTTCTCTTTTTCAGACTACAAGATAAAGTTCGAGAAACAATTGAAGCATTAAGAATGGCTGGTATTAAAGTGTGGGTACTTACTGGTGATAAACATGAAACTGCTGTTAGTGTCAGTTTATCATGTGGACATTTTCACCGAACCATGAACATTCTTGAACTTACAAACCAGAAATCAGACAGTGAGTGTGCTGAACAATTAAGGCAACTTGCCAGAAGGTAAGATTATAAATATCTGGATCATGTAATTCAGGACTCAGCGAACGATGGCCCACTGGCAAAATCTAGCCTGTAGTCTGCTCTGAACAGCTCATGAGCCAAGATTGGTTTTACATTTTTACTGGCTCATAAAGAATCCAAAGGAAAATAGTATTTTATAACAACATGAAAATTATATGAACTTCAAATTTCATTGTCTATAAATAAAGTTTTAATACAACACAGCCACATTCATTTACTTATGTACTACAAACCTGATTAGTTGTGACAGGGACCTTGTGAAGTATACTCATTTCCAATGGCTGCTTGATGCCTTACAAATCTCTTAACATGTTTAGCGTTGGGGTCACTATGAGTCAGAATGGATTCGAAGGCAGTGGGGGTGGCTTTTTTGTGTTCCTCATTTTATGGGCTTAACACATCTTACTTGAAAGCAGAGGGCTCTCTCTCGGGCCAGTGTCTGCTGTGCTGTGAACCAGTGATCAAGTGTAAAATTTTCCTTTTGGTGCATGTAGCCCATTGCTCCCCTGCGTGCTGGCCTGCATGAAAGCACTTGCACCAGAGTGTAAATCTATACATGAGTTCATCATGAGGAGAGCAAAATTATGTATTATCTGCCATGCAATGTAATTTATTTAAAAACTGGTGGAAACTCCCTGTCTCTTTCTGTCTACTAACAGTGTGTATGCAGCTACCAGTAAACCAGTACTTGAGTAATTCTTGTGCAACATAAACTTACAAAGGAGGTTTTATTTATATTGCATTATGTCTGTGTCTTAACAGTACAGTCCAATTGGGGGCTTAATATTAAGAGACGGTACTAATATTTTAACAGTTTTATTGACATATAATTCACGTACCATGCAATTCAGTGGTTTTTATGTATTTAAAAGAGCTGCGCAATCATCACAAATCAATTTTAGAGCATATCCTTCATTCTCGTACTCGTTATTCACTCTCCATTATCCCCTACCTCCCCTGCCAAACCCCACGGAACTACTAGTCCAATTGCTGTGTCTTTGGATTAACTGTCATATGAAAATCATACGAAAAGCCCCCAAAACAACAAAATAAAACTCAGAAAAAATTTAATCCAAGAGAAAGCAGAAAACAGTAGAAACGAGAGTAAATTAAACATGAGTCAACTAAGAAAATAAACGATAATCTATTAAATTTTCACCTAACTATATCTGCAGCAATCCACTTTCCAGTGCAGTCTGTCTAAGTGTAAGACTATTCACATATCAGGTCAAAGGTCCAAGGGGATTCAAGGAAGCCTTACTCCTCCTGGGGACTCTGCAAATGAATTGTGGACCATCACTGTCCTTCATGTTGTTTTTGTTAGGCGCCTTCGACTTGGTCCCAACTCACAGCAACCCTGTGTACAACAGAAGAAACACCGCCCGTCCTATGGAAGCCTCCTAATTGTTGCAGCCACTGTGTCAATCCATCTTGTCAAGGGTCTTCCACTTTTTTTCCTGCCTCTCTGCTTAACGTAGCACGATGTTCTTTTTCAGGGACTGATCTCTCCCAGTAACATGTCCAAAGTACATGAGACAAAATCTCACCATCCTTGGCAGTTCTTCTGAGGGGGATGTGTTGGTCATTTTAGCAGCCCATAATACTTTTAGTATTCTTCACCAGCACCACAATTCAAACCCACCAAGTCCTTTTCGTCTTTCGTATTCATTGTCCAACTTTCACATGCATATGAAGCGACTAGAAATACTATGATTTGGATCAAGCTTACCTGAGTCCTCAAAGTATCACCCTTACTTTTCAAAACTTTTAAGAAGTCTTATTGCAGCAGCTTTATTTAATGCATTTTGCTGTTTGATGTCTTGACTGTAAGCATTGATTGTAGATCCAAGCAAGACAAAATCCTAGACAACTTCAGTCTTTTCTCCTATTGGTCCAGTTGTAAGGATTTTTTTTCAATTAAAAATGTTTTTTAATATTTTGCCCATAGAATCTTTCTTTTTTTTTTTTTTTTCCATAGAATCTTTCTATGTTGCAATTTGAAACCTCAATTTTTTCTTCAGTTCTTCTGTTTTAAGATGTTGAGCCTGGTCTTCCTTTGCGATTTTCTAGTTCTAGGTTTTTGCACAGTGTCATCTATAGCCTTCTGCAAACTAGGTGCTCAAAATTTAAACTTTACTAGTCCTCTGATCTTGGATGTTATCATTCAGAATTCTTGGCTCACAGGATGGTGTGCTTCTTCCATGTGGACTTAGCTGGTGGCTTACTTATATTGGCTGCTTGTTTTAAGGCAACCCTTTAAAACCCCATATACAATTATTTCTAATAGCTGGGCACCATCTGATTGCCTCACCATACTTTCATATAGCACTCATGTCTTCAGTAATTGAGCCAATACTGATATTTTAATTTCTCTCCATGTTTAGATATATAATGATTTTACTCATGAAGTTTTGAACATTCTTGATGTCATTCAATTTTCTTAACTCAGAATCTATTAAATGCATAAGTAAGCATATTTCTACTTTTTAAGGATGCCCATACAATTTGTAAGAATAGACTTTATCCGATTGTTTTACAATTCACAGTTTAAAAAATATAGTTATTGTATCTAGCATATCACCTCATTGTACAGTTTAATCTCATCTATTATACTGATTCTATCAGGGGCTCTCAGTTCTGATTAATCTTAATTTTCAGATAATAAGACTGAATTTATTCTTAGACATGGTAAAGTATGTAAGTCTATCACTAAGAATCTTTGTGGACTATATGAGTATAAATAATGTGCCTTGAAAGTATCTTATAGGGGATATAATTGATTTGTCTTTCAGAATTACAGAGGATCATGTGATTCAGCACGGCCTGGTCGTGGATGGGACCAGCCTATCTCTTGCACTCAGGGAGCATGAAAAATTATTTATGGAAGTTTGCAGAAATTGCTCAGCTGTATTGTGCTGTCGTATGGCACCGCTGCAGAAAGCAAAAGTATGTGTGGGTTATAAGCAGTTCCAGGAAGATATTTAGATCTAAAATTTATCTAATGGTTCATTAGCTGTTATGATAATATTTGGCTCATTCAACTTTGTAGAAAAGGCAACTGGATAATAGAGCCTAAATAAACCAGCCATAGAAGTTGATAAGATCGGTAGAATTGTCATTTTAAAAATTTTAGTACACAAAAATTGCTTTGAGATGAGCTATACAACCATCCTCGGTTGAGGTAGATTTTTAATGTATTGATTAAAATAACGGTGTAGGAAGCAACCAGTTGATTTGCGTCACAACGTTTCCATTCTATTAACCATAGTGATGTAAATGGAACATTAAAAGGTCTCATCACCAGTGATCATGCATCATGTTTTCGTATCATGTTTCATATTTCAAATCCCTTCAACTCTAGAGAAGTAGACCCTAAAGACTGTTGAGAGAGGAACTGAAACTGAACCTGCCGTTCTTGGCTCTGATTTCATCATGGCTGATGTATGTCTTTTCTTCGCATCACACTGAGGGTCTCTTCTAAAGTAAATCATCATAGAAAGATAAGTTAATGGAAAGAAAAAGTTTTTAAACTACTCAAAGATTATTTCATAGTGTTCCTTGTTTCCATTAATGTGACTACTGTCAGAACCAGTGAGGAGACCCAGGTCAAGTAAGTGACTTACCTCCAGGGGCTCCAAGGGGGCAGTTATGTCTCATGTAGATCCAAAGCACATCCTTTGCATCTCTTTTAAGCTCTGTATTTTGTCCATGCACTATCACACATTTATTTAATCAAATATTATCTTCCTTTATATGATAGTCTATACAAATATAATGTATATTTCATGTAAAAGCACATCCCCCCCAGTGGATCAACTTTATTCTTTTTTTTCTGGTTAGCAACATTTTCTGTATTTTTTTTAAAAACATTTTATTAGGGGCTCATACAACTGTTATCGCAATCCATACACACATCAATTGTGTAAAGCGCATTTGTACATAATTCTCAAAACATTTTCTCTCCACTTAAACCCCTAACATTAGGTCCTCATTTTTCCCCTCCCTCCCTGCTCCCCCCTCCCTCATGAGCCCTTGATAGTTTATAAATTGGTATTTTATCATATCTTGCCCTGTCCGACGTCTCCCTTCACCCACTTTTCGGTTGTCTGTCCCCCAGGGAGGAGGTCACATATAGTTCCTTGTATTCGGTTCCCTCTTTCCTACCCACTCTCCCTTTACCCTCCCTAGTAAAAGCAAATCTTAATTTCAAATCTTTTGAATCTTAACCTAAGAGTGAGTAAAAAACCGTCTTTAAAACCTAGAGTAGACCCTAGAGATCCGAAATGCTTTAGAATGTGTCCTGTAGAAGTATAACTATGTGCCACAGAAAAAGTGTTTAAATACCTCTATCTTCATCTGAAGACCCAAATGAAGAGAAAAACTTATAGTCTGATAAGATGGTTTTCACGCACTCTTATCATCACTCTTGACACCGAATCTTGCTATTTTGCTATTAAATCAGATAATTTGATCTTCCCAAATTGATCTTCCCGCCAAAGGTTTGTTTTTAATTTAATTCATTTAATGCACCGTTACTTAAGGGGGGGAAATGCGGTTGATTCTATGGTTTTAGGAAATCAAGAGAGAGGTAGTTGACCTTAATTTTGTCATTACTTAAAAAACCTCCAAGTTTGACTTCTCTAAGAATATACAGAGCAGTTGATCATACTCTTTCTTTTTTTTTAAGTAACAGAACCTTTTGGAAAATCGTATTTAAATGACAAACAGCATATGTTCTCTTCCCAGCAAAGACGCTCGTCTGTGACTTTGCTTTCAGTGCTGCCACTATGTCTCTAAAGAATCCCTGAGAGAGAAAGGTGGTTTTCCCAGGGCGAGGCTCATCCATTGCACTGTGGGCCTGCAAAATAATAACACAAAACCCCTGAGAGAGCATTTGGTGAATAAGAAATTTGCAAAGTAAAAATACAAATTCTCTGTAGCCTGACCAAAATAGTATTTTCTCCCCGGCTGCTGTATCTCACCATTCTCTATATACTTGGTCATAAGCGTCTTTAGCACTAAAATTAGTTCACACTTTCAAGCTTCATTTTTTCCTTTTTTTCAATTTTTTCTTGTAAATTAGATGGGGTTTACATTTCAGGTCATCAACTTTGTATTTAACATTTTAAACAACTAATCAAACCCCTCATCAAGCTTCTTTTTGTTTAAGTTTCCTTGTTGTAAGTGGTTAAAACCTAAAATTGGTTTTTAGAAGTTCATAGTACTTCGATTAATGTTAAAATAAAAAACATGAACTAAGTATTCTCACATATAATTTGCATAGTAATAGCTACTATGTGTGAAATCCCTGCTCTGTTCTAGGGGCGCTGTGCTAAGCTTCTTTGTTTGCATTATTTCAACTCATTTGAACAACCAACCACTACTAAGGTAGATATAGTTAGTTATATTTGGTTCCCAAATGAGGGGAGTAGAGTTAGAGAATATTTTCACTAAGCCCATGTAACCAGTAAAAGCATAACTATGTTTTGAACTCAGATCTGCCAACTAAAACACAGTAGCTCGTAAAGTTACTCCCCAGAATTCTCACACCTTGCTTTTGCTTCAACTGACTACTTTTTACGTTTTTAATTTTGCTTATTACAAAAGAAAATTCCTACCTCTGTAACAAGTGAAAATAATAATATCTAGAGGCAAAGAAAAAAATTTGCCTGACAAAGTTCAATGAAGTATAATTATTTAGTATGTAATAAATTATTTTAAAAATTATTTAAAATGGAAACTGTATCCAAATAGGTTCTTGCTCCATATTATAACGTACAAAGATGATCTTTTTAGCTATGACATGCAGGAAAGACATTCAAAAATCTTAAGAGACATCCCTCAAAAAATGAACCCTATTGCCAAATACCAATATTAAATCAAATACTTTAATTATGCCACTTTTGTTACTACAGTCATTTCAGATCATTGGCATTACACAAATATAAGAAAACTGAAATTTCAACAATGAACTAATTAATTGTATGTCTTTCAGGTAATAAGACTGATAAAAATCTCACCTGAAAAACCCATAACATTGGCTGTTGGTGATGGTGCTAATGATGTAAGCATGATACAAGAAGCACATGTTGGAATAGGTGATTGATTTTTTTTTTCACTAAATTTATGAAGTGGATATAAATATTAGGTGGTTTCGTGTTCCTGCTTTAGATTAATTGCAGTAGTAAATATGTGAATAAAAACTAATGCAGAATGATAATGCATCACCACTTGTCCCTGTCAGAAGACTGTTAAAATTAGGCCTATTATTTAGGTTATTTTCTTTCCAGATACAAAGGAAGTAAATACCACATTAGTGAATTTCACCTCTGCCAATTCCTCTTCTTAGTAAAAGTAACCTTGTGCCACTTTATACTTCTCAAAGTATCCACACACAATATTTCACAATATTAATTTATATTCCATATGTATTCCTTACCTAACAGTATGAAAGGGTTTCAAAAAGTTTGTGGGGAAAAGTCCCATTATCTTTCATCAACTATGCTTCCAGGATTTCTTCTAATAAAGTAACATTTTAATTCAGACCTATATAATAAAACAATATTCATAATGTTTAGTGACTAAAGTAAGTATAAAGCAAATATTCCCAATTTTGCACACGTCTGTGTATTGAGTTCACATACACATATAGGCAGAAAAAGTCTAAAAGGATATATAGACCAACAAGAGTGGTTTTATCCTTAAGTATTAGGAATACAGATGATTTTCTTCATATATTTTAGTATGTTTTTATCCTTTTATGGCAAAAAATTAAAATTACCGTTTTGCAAAATATTTGAAAGCTGTAACCAGATTAATAAAAATATTACTCTTTCAGATAAACCTATGTACTGATTTCAAATAACATTGTATACTTTCTCTAAGAAAGCACACTTTAACTTATACATGAAAGTTTTAAAACATCAGACCATTTACTCATATTTGCCAGGTTTAAATTATTCAATCTCAATATTTTTTGTGTTCATTGAAAAGTGACAGAGCTGTTGTATAACATTCTGTCCATCAGGGTTCGCTATGGGCTACACATTGAGCCCCAAGGTCAGCAATTCAAATCCACCAGTCCCTCCCCAGGAGAAAGATAAGGCTCTCTTAAAGATTTAAAAGTCTGGGAAAGCAAAAAAAACAAACCCTCCAGGCTTATTAGGAGCCAGAATTGACTCAATGGCAGTGTATTTTACGCTTACTCGTATACTATGTTGATGTACCGCTAGACTCTGAACTTTTGATAGCAACTTTATATTAGTTGCATTTTATCCTAATTCTCTGAAAATTACTCTTAACATCTGTTATCTGCTATATGCTATATAAAGTGACATAGGGGCTAAATGCTCTGTCTAAAGGTCAGTGCTTCCAGTGCACCAGCCATTCCGCAGAACAGAGATCTGCAGTTTGCATCATCAGATTATAGCCTTAGGAACTCTTGGGTAGTTCTGCCCAGTCCTACAAGGTCACCAGGAGGGAGTCAGCATGGACTTTGCAGCAATTGGTTGAGGTTATGTGCTGCATAGGAACCTTGGTGGTACAGTGGTGAAGCACATAACTGCTAACTGAAAAGTCAGCAGTTCGAACCCACCAGCTGCTCTCTTAGAGAAAGATGTGACAGTCCGCTTCCTTCAGGATGTACAGCCTTGGAGACCCGATGGGGTAATTCTCCTCTGCCGCACAGGGTCACTGGGAATCAGAGTGCGCTCAACAGCACCATGTGGGCTGTGGTGGTGGTGGTATTACACCAGGGTTTCATCTTCTTAAGTCCAAGTTCAACTACCTTTATCTAAGATACTTGCAGACGCACTATGACAGTTACATGACAGTTAACAGGAAACTGACTTTTCTTGTTCTTTCGTTGTAGGAATCATGGGTAAAGAAGGAAGACAGGCTGCGAGAAACAGTGACTATGCAATAGCCAGATTTAAATTCCTCTCCAAGTTGCTCTTTGTCCACGGTCATTTTTACTATATTAGAATAGCAACCCTTGTACAGTATTTTTTTTATAAGGTGAGTTTTGTCATGATATTTTAGAAGTAATTACTATTCGAATATGAGGGATATTACTACGATATAGCTTATTCATTAAAAGTTCTGTCAGTAAAACATAACGTTTCATAGAATAGGCCTTGGTTATCTTGTTCTAATTTATTCCGTATTGACAGAAAGCAGATCAGTGGTTCTCGGGGCTGAGGGTGGAGGTGACTGAATTGGCTGGACAGGAACGCAAGGCGATATTTTAGGTTAATAGAAAAGTTCTCTTAATTGTGATACTGGTACATGGGTATATAAATTTGTCTAATTGTCAAAATATACCCTGACAATAGACATTTTTATTCCATGTGGATTGGGAGTCAGTAAAATCAATTGCTTTTTAAGTCACTTGTTCTGAACCTAGCAATACGGATTTGCTTAATTCCAATGGAATGGCTTCAAGCAGAGATCCTTGACGGTCTTGTGCTCTGGATGACTCTGAGTGTAACGAAACCTCCACGTCCCTTCTCAGTTTAGTTTTCATATGTATAAAATGAAATACAGAGGATTAGAAATAAACTATATTGGAATATTGTTCTGTCTCTGGACCGTTGGGAGAATGTGGGGATCTTTAAAACCCATGTTAAGAACCCTTCGCTATCAAAATATTTAAAGTGCCAGAGTATTCTATGTTGCATGCATTCCTGCAGTTAAGTGATAGCGGCAAGCCCATGGAAGAGCATAGTGAATTGTAAATTACAAATAAACAGTGGTGGAAGTTTTTGTCTAATTTGTTCTAGTTTTTACTTGCAGCGTGAATATAGTTAGATGGGAAGAAGTTTCATTAGTTCCATGTATTGTACTTTAAATGTTTTTTGCAGTCTTGAAAAAACTACGTTGTTATAGTCTTAAGTTTTACGTAAATCGTACTTATTGTGTTATATGTGAAAAGTATTGAGTAGTAGTTGTAAGACTTTAAATTCAAGATTATGTGCTGCTTTGCAATGATAGATGCCAAGAATATTTTCCTTCGGTGATTTCCATTGCTGTTTAAAATGGTTTCATACATTTTTAAAATAAAATTCAAGTCTTAATTTCCAGTTTTTTTGTGGATACACTCTGTACATTTTATATTGTTTCTGGATTCTTCGGTAAACATTGACTTCAATAAAAGGCTTTTATTTTTGTGTATCTAAAATATTGCTGTACTAACGAGAAACGTGGAGCCTTACAAGCTGCGCTGCTGGTGCTGGCAGGTGTCACGGAGTGAGTTCTGCCTCACAGCACCCCCTGGACAGCAGAGCAAAACACGCCGGCCGGGCCCTGCTCCCTGCTCACGTCTCATGACGGACGCCACCGCCGCAGTCTGTCCCACCCTCCCGTTGAGGGCCTTCAAGTCAAGCCTAATGACTTTTTAGAAATGTCTCTTAGACCTAAATATTTTCATTGTTTCCCACTTATTCTTGTTTTTCAGAATGTGTGTTTTATCACACCCCAATTTTTATATCAGTTCTACTGTTTGTTTTCTCAGCAGGTAAGTAAATAGAAGTTTGTGTTTTGTCCTTTCAAAATGAAGTATGTGTATCTAGTTTTGATAAACACTTGGAGGACTTTCTCCATTTTCATTAGTCCTATATCTAACTAGACAAGACTTTACTGATTAGTTTATTTAATCATTATAGTATTCATACTATTTATTCTGGATTTCAACTTGAGATAAATATTGATGATAAAATAGGTTTTAATCTTGGATTTTTAAAAATAATGAACTCTTTCAGGCTTATGAGGGAATTTTGTTAACTTGTTCCAGCTAACGCGTGATCCTTCTTTATATAGAATCCCTACCAAGCCAGATCCGTTCATTGTTGGAGGGGTGTGAATTTTGCACGTAGGAAGGTATCTTACTGATTGAGTTCAGGAATGGCATATAGGAATGGCATAAACTAGCCCTAACTAATAGTTAAGGGTCACCTGGCGTGGGATAGTGAAAGGATTCTGAAGCCAATTAAGCTAAAAGGGAAAGTGCTCTCATTGATAGCAGTGGTTGGAAGAGGCACAGGAGCCCTGGTAGCACAGTGAAACAGACTTAAAGAAACAGAGCCCACTCTCCCTGCACTCCTGTAAGGTCAAGGTGGGGATCTTAGCTTTGTCTTTAAGTCTGAGCAGACTCCTCACAGCAGCCCAAAGCAAGAAGAGCTCAAGACTGTAATCATGTCTTCAAAAGCAACAGCAGTAATTCACGCTCTTGACTGCTAATTGGTGCTTCGAACTCACCAGCTCCTCCACAAGAGGAAGGTTTGTAGTCTGCTCCCAGAAAGATTTTTACAGCCTTAGGAACCCTGCTGGGCAGTTCTACTTTGTCCTCTAGGGTCACCAGGAGTCAGAATTGCCTCCTTATTTGGGTGGACAATGGACACTGCATGGGTCCTGAGTTGTACCTGTCACATATGTGCTATTCTCACTACTATCTTATGTAATAGGTAAGAAAACAAATCCACAGAGAATAAATAACTTGACTAAGATTGCATAGCAAATTTAATGACTAAACCTTGACTCGAACCCATTGGTTCTGACTATTTGAGCACTCTTCACATACCACATTGTATAGCTCAAATTGGCCAAGACATTGATCGTAATTTGTTGAAAAAAATCAGATGCTTCATTGGTTGTTTTATTTAGGTTTTTCATAAGTTGTTTTTAATGCTTGAGCACTTTTTTTTTCCTGTTTACAATCTGTAACACTAAATTCCCATTATCGGCCTAGTCATTTCTTTCTGATAATGGTGTTTGCTTACTGAGATAGAATAAAGAAAACTATATGAGCATATGACAGGGGAGCCTAACCTGTTTGAATTAGGTTCTTCAGAGACATTGCGGTATAATGTGGGAGACAGTATTAATAGGGTAGGAAGCAGTTAGTCCTGACAGTGGTACAGATGAATGTTTATAAAGAAGGAAGCTGGCATCAAGGACTTGTGCTCCTGTGGAAAAGTTCAAAAAAGAGAGGCTTCTCAGCACCTCAGAAAGAGTGTAGGACTTAGTTTGGGGGACAAAACTGTGGAAGGAAAACGCTATGTAGCATATCAGATGGAAGAATAAAAAGTCTAGGATGCGTGTAAAATTGCATCCAGGAGACCATATCGTGGAAAAGCGTGAAATGTAAGTCAAATATACTATAATTACAAAGACATTTTTATAGACAAATATTCCATTTCTCACAAAGAATGTAAATCTAGGAACATTATATGTTTACATCTATGTAAAACAAATTGGAATTGCTAAAATGCTTTTTGGTGTAAATTAAAAAGCTATCATTTTATGCTTATTTTTTAATATGCTGCTTTGTGATGGTGTGCAACAGTATAATAGTAACGCGTAATTTTAAATCTCCAAATACCTCTCATTTCTCTCTCTAGACCCTGTATGATAGCGTGTACCTGACTTTGTACAATATTTGTTTCACTTCTCTGCCTGTTCTCATGTATAGTCTTTTGGAACAGCATATAAACCCTCATGTGTTACAGAGCAAGCCCACTCTCTATCGGTAATGTTCATAACATTTTTATTACAACTAATATATTCAATAGATCTTAATTTTTAAATGCCTTAACATAGGTAAATATATGAGTTTTCACTCATGTCTTAGAAAAATACTAAGGAAAGTACTTGGTAATCAGTGCAAAAGGAGCCCTTGTGATGCAGAGACTAAGTGCTAGGCTGCTAACCGAAAGCTGGCGGTTTGAACCCACCAGCTGCTCTGGGAGAAAGAGGTGGCAGTCTGCTTCCATAAAGAATTCAGCTCTGGAAACCCGGTGGGCAGTTCTGCTGTGCCCCACGGGATCGGGATGAGTTGGAAACGACAGTGGGTTAATCACTGCAAAATGCAGGGTTAATTCCAGTCCCAGGTTGCCCCTGGGTTACTCCTGCATGCCCAGACTAAATAATCATTTTTTGTGATCTGGGCTCTGTGCCTCAGGACCAACTAATGGTTCCCATACCAAACTGACTTCTACTCTTAGGGGAAGGGTCCAAAATACCAGTAACTTCCTTTGATTTAAGGCTGGGCTTTACCCAAGACTGGCAGACTTGTTCTCTCCATACTAGTATTGGAAGTGAAGTTGAGTACGAGCCTCAGTGCTGGCCCTAACTCATGGCTCCACTAAAACGAGTCCCTGACCACAGAGGGAGTTGCTAGTTATAGAATATGTGAAGCAGATAAATCCACCTTCCCAGTCTCACTGAGCTGTTAGGTCTTTATCATATTTCTTTATTAAAGGAGAAGATACATTTTGTGAACTGGATATGCAGTAATATTATATGCAGTGGTTCATAAATTTGGGTTTATCCTTTCTGATGTTTTCAATTAAATTAAATTAAATTAAAACCCTATCTTGTTTTTAAATTATCAAATTATAGTAGTTAACAGGTAAAGAACAAGGATGAATCCTAATGTATTCCTCTTTCTCTTTAACTTACAGAGACATTAGTAAAAACTGCCATCTAAGCATTAAAACATTTCTTTACTGGACCATGCTCGGTTTCAGCCATGCCTTCATTTTCTTTTTTGGATCCTATTTTCTAATAGGGAAAGATATCTCTCTGCTTGGAAATGGCCAGGTAGGACAAACAGTGTTGAGTTGTTGTTGTTGCTTATTCTATTTGTTTTTGGTAAATTTTTGAAGAAAATAAAATTTGGCTTACAATTTTAAATTGCAGATGTTCAACTAAAATGCAATTGTTAAAGGTTCTTTTTGTTAAATACATAACTAATAGTCCTCACAAGTAAACATTAAAAGATAAAAGTGATCCAATGTAATCTAAATATGAAATTCAAATTATGAAATAGTTTTGCTCTTTAGAATTAACTTGCACACGGATATACCCATGCTTTCCCCACTCCTCTCCCAGGCTGTTCACCTGAAGATCATGTTTTCATAAGGGCTGCCTTCAAGTTAGTGCCTACTGTTGTGTTCAGTGCTTAAGAGTAATCCTCATTAATTCTCACAATAAATCCTATTAGCTCCATTTTTCAGATCAGAGATGAAGGTTTAATGTTTCCTTCCTTTTAATTTCATGATTTTTTTTTTTTTTAGGAAGTACTGCTGTATTCTTACAACAGGCAGTTGTAAGGATGCTGTAAGTGACTGTTCAGTAGGACCTCATTTATGAATGTGAAGTTGAGAAAGAGGGCTACAGAGTACATTGCTTGTTACACTTTATCCTGATTGGAGTTCTTACATTGAGAGACTCTTGACCAAATTAGGTTTCATTCCAGTGTTAGCTCTGTGGGTTAGGAAAAAGGCACTGACAGCAGTGGTACTCTGGTGGACTAGAATCGCTTGTCCTCTCTAGTTAGTTCCCTTTCCATTGACAGTACTTAACTGTTGCAAAATATGTCTAGGGACTCGGAGATGCAAGACTTGCCATTGGAAGAATATGAAGCTCTGCCAGGAAAACCAAACCTTTACTGCGGAGCAGCCACATACTGTGCTAGGCTCTGGGCATCCATGAGCTGGTCAGGGAGCTTTGAGTCTTAGGAGGAATACAGAAAAGACTCTTGTAAACGAGTAACATATTATGCTCAAGAGCAAAGGAGGAAAGGTGTTTCCGTTATAGAAGGGGTCTAGCCATGCAGGTTCCTTTAGGATGTGGACTAGAAACATAAATATTAATACCAGATCACTTTTGAAGACATGGCCTGATCTGAACAAAAACGTGTATCTGGTTTATGTCACATGATGGTTACAACGTTTCCCAAATAATAACTGCTTTGTATTGAGTTTTTCTTGTGCCAAATGTATGGAGGTGGCTTCAAAGGGGTTGTGGAAAAATGAAATGAGAAGATAATGGAATTTTTCCATGAACATTTTGAAACACCCTCAAATCTGTGTGAATGGGCCCACTTCTACCTGAAACATCAAGTGGGAAGCAGGCAAAACGAAGAGGGGAAGAGAGTTTAGGAAAAGGAAAAGTCATTGGATAGGAAGGAAGCTAAAGAGTGTTTGAGGTGTTTTTTGCTAGTTACAAATACTTTCTAATTTTAAAATTAATATGTATCCATTATGGTAAATTTGGAATATACAGGAAAAATTAGGAAGTAAATAAATCACCAGTTCTCCCTCTACCCAGAGAGAATTATATCTATCTTACAAATATATTCTTCCATTCTTTATTTTTTTAATATATTTTTATAAACTTTTATTTTTAACCCTTTTATTCTTAGTATTGTAACTTAAGTTATGATATTTTAAATGTTCAAAAATATTTTCATGACAATCTATTGGTACATATCATAATTTGTTATAAAGTACGTATTTTCTTTACTTTGAGAGTTTGTTTGTTTCTAATTATTAGTGACTTTAAACAACCAAATCTTGAGCATGCTTCGTACAAAAGTACAAAACTTAATGGAATGGTAAATTTGGGGTTTTTTTAAATTTCCGGTTATAAATCAGTAACTTCTTTACCCTGTGAGTTAAAAAAAAGTCTGCCAGTTTTAACACTAAGAAATATATCATTAGATTTAAACCACCAGTTAATTATAATATTGATATAGCACTCAAAATTAAATGTCAGTAGAATTAAGCCACTGGTACCAGGCCTAGTGAGAAGGAAGTGCACAGAGGAATCGGTCATAATTGGATTCACATCCAGGAACCTGCACGGCTCATCTGAGTGACTTAGAATACATTACTTAACCTCTCCAAACCTCAGTTTCCTCATCTGCAGAGTGAGCAGGATAATATCTGCCCACAGGTTTGCTGTGAGGATTAAACGGCATGAGGGTAAAGCCCCAAGGGCAGTGCCGAGAGTACAGATGGACCTGGTCAGTCGCAGCAGTGCCCGTGCTTCTTGTCACTGCTCACCTATCACAGTAATGACTGCAACCTGCCCCATCTTTCCTGATCGTCTGCCCCACAAAACTCTCCCTGCGAACCTCCCAGAAGAGCTGTTTGGTTTCATTCCCAGCTGTTGCTGTGTTCCTCTGTAGAAAGCTGTGGCCCCTTTCCCGAAGCTTCTCTCGTTTCCATGCTTTCAGACCTCTCTCTGCCTCTCTCCTTGAATTAAGAGTTCAACACCAGACGTGCAGAATGCTCTCTGCTTTCCAGACGTTGTTCTTGTTTAGTCATATTTATTGCGTTTCAGTGGAAAATTTATACCACAGGTTACATTCCCCCTTTTTCATACAGACTGTTCAGTGCCTCAGTTAGAGTGTTAAGACGTGTCAGTATCCCCATTCTGTCCAGTCTGCTCTGTTCCCGTTGATCCGCCTCCCTTCCTCGCCTTGCCTTATCACCTTTGCTTTGTCCGCCAATTGTGAAAGGGAGCGCATTACTCATGGGATATTGTTTATTTTATAAACCCATCTTTTATTTGGCTGATAATAGAATCGGCTTTTTTAGGAGTTTGAGTTGGGTCTATGTTTTCCTTCTATTCTGTCCAGAACAGTCAGTAATGGTACCACGGCACCACCTGGTTCTTCTGGTCTCCAGTCAGAAGTCCCGGCCCATGTGGGCTGTTAGTCCCAGAGAATAGTTTCTTCTTTGAGCCTTTGATTCTCTTCATTCTGTTTTTGTCCTATATGACTACAGACTAGTAGTTGTATCTCAGATGGCAAGACCCCAGACACAGTTACTGTTCTTGTGTAGCCAAGGAACCTGCAAACAAAGGAGGGTCTGGAGGAAAGCAAGTGTTCAGTTATTGAAAGAGGTATGGCTGGGGGAAATGAAGTGAGTGTTGACTAATACTGAGAGGGGAGCAAGAGGAAGAATGGGCAATTATTTGATTCAAACAAGGAACTTCAAAGCAAGTTCAGAGAATCTACCCCAGTTTTGTTTTGTTTTAAATAAAGGCCTAACAGGGTCATGAATATTACACATATTGATTAGTTTTCAACAAATACGTCTGAAGGATTCATTTTTCTATCCTCAATTTCTTTTTAATATAGGAAAGAACAGTTTATCACATATTCCTCTGAAAATAGTTTTAGTAGGTCTTGGTAAATTTTTCAAAGATGGAAAGATGCATATGTCTGTGTGTGTGTGTGTGTTTTGAGGGAGGCATATAAGAAAGCCCACTGCCGTTGAGTCCATTCTGACTGATAGTGACCTTGTCAAGGGGAAATAGCCACCAGCAATGACTTTTTTCCCCTTTCATAAATGTGTAGGAATCTAACTTGAAAAAAATGGAATTCAAAAGAATGAACGATTGAGAAAGAAGGTGAAAGGCAGTTTAGAGTCTTGTGGTTTCAGTTAGACTTCTCTGTTAGAGATTTGGGGAATGTCAGTCCCCCCCTTTTTTTTAATCGTTTTATTGGGGGCTCATACAACTCTTATCACAATCCATACACACATCAATTGTGTAAAGCGCATTTGTACATTCATTGCCCTCAT